TTTTAATATTTATAATTAATGCCAGAGTTTTATAATTGTTACCGGATTTTACGATGGGTCTCAATGGGTTAAACAATATTTTCTAATCGTCATAACTTGGCTTCATTTTATTTTTTTCTTTATTTCTATATAATCGTGTGATTATCCTTCGCTTTCTCTTTCACATGAGATTTTTATTTTTTATTTTCTGACTCTCCTATGGTGTCAAATGGCAAGAATCCGCCAGAATTTTATTTATGCCATCTTGACGCATCACTGCGAGATTATTTTGAAATTCGTTTGCTGGTGCCAGCTTTTCTAAAATATTTATTTTCTTCTTTAACTTGCGTTCGACGACATCTTTCATTCACAATGTTTATAATCAATCTAAAAAAAACAAAAAATATATATTTTAAAAAGAAAGAAAAACTACCCCCCAAAAAAACACCATAAAACAACAGATTTCAGATCACGTGATCGGCTTAACCCGCAGAACAGCAATTAATCTATTAAGAAAGAGAGGGATTCGGTAAATACTGGTGTCGAATGTACGATTGGATGTTATCAAACACGTGACATTCTCTCGATAAGTGGAAGTCGGTGATTTCCGACGCATGCGCCCCAAGGGAAAAAAGATGATATGAAAGCGATCATGTGTATTAATATTTGTGTATTGACAGAAAGAACGATGGAGATATATAGAGTGGGATAAGGGGAGAGAGAAAGGGGGCTAGAAAAAGAGGAGGAGGGGAGAGAGTAAATGGAGTGAGGTGGAGGAAAAGAGGAAGAGGAAGGGTAGATGGAGTGAGGTGAAGGAGGGAAAGAGTAGAAGTAGAAGGGGGAAGAAGAGAGAAGAGATAGGAGATAAGAAAGAAGGTTAGAGAAAGAGATAGGAGGGGAGCGGGTAGATGGAGTGAGATGGAGGAAGAGAAGGAGAGAAAGTAGACAGGGGAAGAAGAGAAAGGAGAGAAAATGATAGGAGAGAGAATGGGAGACTAGAGAGAGAGAGAGAGAGAGAGAGAGGAGCAGGAGATAAGAAAGGAGACGGAGTGGGTGGTGGAAGAGAAAAAGAGAAAGTAGAAGAAGAGAGCGAAGAAGAGAAAAGTGAAAGGGGGGATAGAAAGAGAGAGAAACGGGGGCTAGAGAGAGGGAGGAGGAGATGTTAGAAGGAGTGAGGTGGAGAAAGAGAAGGAGAGAAAGGCTACAACTAGAGAGGGGAAGAATAAAAGGGAGAGAGAGAGAGAGAGAAAAGGAGAGCTTATAGAAATAGTGAAAACGTGCTATGATTATCCTGCTACAGGTGAAAGGGTGTTTAGTGGAACGTTTTTCGTTTTTGTTCCGAGTTTTCTTATTCGAAAATGTGAAGGGGAGAGTAATTAAAAAAAATTATAGGTCCCCAGGACAACAGTGAGAAAAACATGAGTCTGGAATCAGCTGATAGTATATACTGGCAGATGATTGTCCTGAAGCTGCTGACGAGATATACTGCTAGATGATTGTCCTGAAGCGATTGACGAGATATACTGCTAGATGATTGTCCTGAAGCTGCTGACGAGATATACTTCCAGATGATTGTCCTGAAGCGGCTGACGAGATATACTGCCAGATGATTATCCTGAAGCGGCTGACGAGATATATGGCCAAATGATTGTCCTGAAGCGGTTGACGAGATATACTGCCAAATGATTTTCCTGAAGCGGCTGACGAGATATTCTGCCAAATGATTGTCCTGAAGCGGCTGACGAGATATACTGCCAGATGATTATCCTGAAGCGGCTGACGAGATATATGGCCAAATGATTGTCCTGAAGCGGTTGACGAGATATACTGCCAAATGATTGTCCTGAAGCGGTTGACGAGATATACTGCCAGATGATTGTTCTGAAGCGGCTGACGAGATATACTTCCAGATGATTGTCCTGAAGCTGCTGACGAGATATACTGCCAGATGAATGTCCTGAAGCTGCTAACGAGATATACTTCCAGATGATTGTCCTGAAGCTGCTGACGAGGTATACTGGCAGATGATTGTCTTGAAGCTGCTGACGAGATATACTGCCAAATGATTGTCCTGAAGCGGCTGGCGAGATATTCTGCGAAATGATTGTCCTGAAGCGGCTGACGAGATATACTGCCAGATGGTTGTCCTGAAGCGCCTGACAAAATAGAGTTTCACTGGGCTATCATTCAGCATAGATAAGTAAGTAAAAAAAAATCACACTCTTTGTGGTAAACTTATTTGATTCGCATTAAACATCGAATTTTTAAAAAAATCATTTCACCCCAAGCAAGGCAATAAAGCCACTAAGGCACGTGGGGATAATGAGAGACTATAAGAGAGGAAGAAAATACTTTTAAGGAAAGCTGATAATAAAATCATCTTGGGATAGAACAGTTTGAGCCATTCGAATCTTGTATGGAAACATTTTTGATCCCCTTGCAGAATTTTCTGAATATGAGAACGTCGACTTTATTACTTGTATGTTTTGCTTTGTACCTTAGAACGTCTCTTGACGTCATCCTGCTCTGAGATTGCCTTCAAGGAAGAATATATGAAATGTAGAATTAGAATAAACGGTAAATATATTCTCTATCATTTTGAAGAGAGGTAGGAATCAATATCTGATTTGTTCGGACAATTGAGCTCATTATATAGCAGTCCATTTCAGAGATAAGTAATTATCATTGCACTTGTATTATTTCGAACAAATTGTCCGTATCTTGGTTGATATAGATGTTATTATTATAGACACGACGTTTCGACCAAGTACCCTGTTGTGATCATCAGATGCCCCTGGTTTAACTAATATGGGATATCTATTGCTTACTGTGATATTTTGTCCCATCAGGTTCCATTGTTTGATTGATATGGAATATCTGTTGATTATTTTGTCCACGTCATATCAGTACTCATCTTGGTTGATATAGGTGTTATTATTATAGACACGACGTTTCGACCAAATAACCCGTGGTCATCATCAGATTCCATTGACTGATTGATATGGGATATCTGTTGATTACTTTGTCCATGTCATATCAGTACTCTTCTTGGTTGATGTAGATGTTATTAATATAAACACAACGTTTCGACCAAGTACACTGGTCATTATCAGGTTGTCCGTTGTTTGACTGATATGCGATATCTATTGGTTATCGTGATATTTCGTCCCTGTGATATTACTTCTCATCTTGGTTGATATAGTTGTTATTATAGACACAACGTTCCGACCAAATACACTCTGGTCATCATCAGGTATCTATTGTTTAACTGATATGAGAGATCTGTTGATTATTTTGTCCAACAGCCAAGTGTCTGACGTATAACTGCCAGACTGACAAGACCCGACGTACAACTGCCTGCCGAAAACACTTGCTTGACGGAAAAATGCCTGATGGGCACAACTGTCCGACGGGAAAATGTTATGTGCCATGGGGGATGTATCTTTCGATACATGACTGAAGATGCATTCCCTTCAGGAATAGGTTGCCGTTTCTTTCTGCGGTATAGAACTCGGTCCGTCCTGCTATTTACCCATAGCTGGGGGGGGGGGAGAAGAAGAGGATTCACAACCTTCCCAAGGGTATTAGCACGGGTAAGTGAATGTAATGGATCTGACTGAAATTCGAACTCGGCTCTCCGATTTCTCAATCCGCGCCGCTATCCCCTACTCCTACTACTTGACTGTGCCTCCCTATATATATATATATATATATATATATATATATATATATATATATATATATATATAGACAGATAGATAGATAGATAATATTAGTATATATAATATACATACATACATACATACATATATATATATATATATATATATATATATATATATATATATATATATATAAGAGGATAGAATCCAGGTAGAACTCAATGTCCAGGACAGAGTAAGAATATAATATAAAAGGCTCAAACACTAATATTCCATGGTTATAATTTATTACATTAGAATCGTAATCACGATCCAAATCATCAGACCTACAAATTCAAAAAGAAATTGAAAAATATAACTTCGGGTATAAAAAAAAACAAAATTTTAGTGAGAGTGTATGTGTGGGAGTTGGAAACAAGTGTGAGCGGGAAATGCATGAAAGCTTTAGAGAGAGGGTGTAACAGAAGAAAGAAGAACAGGAAGACCTAAAGGTGAAGGTGGGGATTTATATATATATATATATATATATATATATATATATATATATTTTTATTTGAAAATTATAACATAAATATGTTATAAAATCACTACAAAAATAGGCATTTTGTTTCAACACCTCTGGTGACTTATCAAGTGGTGATGTTGAATATAGAATAAAGTGTTTTAAAACGTTCAAATCAATTAACTACACCTTGCAATGGGAAACGCTGTTACACGAGATGAAATGACCAATCAAAATGCAAGTATACGAGAATTCAAAAAACTTGACTACGTACTTCGTAGGTTATAATAATTATTTAATGCCTTAATGTTGGAGTTGAGATTCACTGTCAATTTTTTTTTATCGTACCATAAAAGGAGTTTCAATAGCTTTAAACTTTTGATATATCCTTTAGGATTTCGCTGTTCTTTTTTGTTACAATGATAATAATAATAATGATGATGATGATAATGATGTTCTAGTAATAATAATAATAATGTTAACAATAATATAAATAATGCAAATAGTAAAAATAATCTTCAATATTGATTAAGAAAGCAATAATAAAACTAAGAACGATTTTATATTAAACAAGCAAACACTTGCAGAGTCACGTTCTCAAAAATATCTTGTATCCGACAAATAGTGAATTAATATTTGCGATAAGTAACTTTAAATTATTTGGTGTGAATTAAAAGAAAAAATCTGAGATTGGTTGTGGATAGCCATGACCGCCCAGGTCCTGAATGGACAAGGCACATAGAAGAAAAACACTATTATAATTCTATGTTTGTGCATTCGTTTTAAATTAATCATCCCGTCCATTTTATTTCATTTAATTTTGTTTTCTGATATTCCTTTTTCTGTTCCAGTCTATCATGAAGTCATCGGTTCATCCCAGCCATATTTTGTCGGTCATCAATAATTTACCTTGTTCTTTATCAGGGCCAAATTCGTTTCCCATTTGTCTGGGCCACGTCAGCTTTCAAATGAGAATAAGGTAGACTGCGTCAGATAGAGTGGAGAAGTCAGAAGTGGGGTCACCCCTCCCACAAAAGGCGAAGCGTCAAACAAAAAGCCAACGAAAATGCTCTTCATTGCTTGATCTCATTCACAAAATGGCCGCCAGTTTGGCGCCTGAGCGATGAAAAGCGCGGGAAAATATTTGATCTTCCCATACCCACTGTCTTCTTTCTCGATTTTGACTTAGACAAATCAACGAATCACCTTACCTGTCATTTAAACGAAACATTTTATCGACAGGCACCAAACTTTATTTTTTAATGCGTCTGTTTGATGTTAACATATTTACGTTATATAAATTGTTGTCAAGAAGTTAGAGAAATGGACTACTGGCTTCCCGTCCTGTGTAAGACGATAAACTACATCCGCATCCTGGGTAAGACGATAAACTACATCCGCGTCCTGGGTAAGACGATAAACTACGTCCGCGTCCAGAGTAAGACGATAAACTACATCCACGTCCAGAGTAAGACGATAAACTACATCCGCATCCTGGGTAAGACGATAAACTGCATCCGCGACCTGGGTAAGACGATAAACTACGTCCAACAGCAAGGCCTCTGATCAGGAGGTTTTGAGGTGCGTGCACCCACCTCTTAATTGCTGGCGTTTCCAGGTCCGCTCTGACCTCGGGTTGTAGCAACTATTAGGGTCCCAGCTGTGGGCAAATAGTTAACCCCCGACCTGGGGTCAAAGCAATATGAAAGTGTAAAATAGGTTTAATACCAGCAATATATTTTTGTAAAAAAATTATTACCAGCAATGAATTTTTGAAGAAAAATTATTACCAGCAATAAAAGTCTTGTCGGCATTAAATAACCCATTGAGGCTGATATTCCGTAAACCAAACCAAACCAAACCAAACCAAACCAAACTACTGGCTTCAAAACACGTCGTTCAACACCCCAAAACAGAACAAGGAAACCCTGAGCTTACAATATAATTAAAAGTGACGAGAAAATGTCAGAAACGAGAGTTACGAATTAGCGATATCAACATCAAGTAGATGCAGAAGTTCAAATATCTGGGAAGCCTTTTTAACAGAGGATGGAAAACATGACATGGAGATCCGAAGTACGCATTGTATTAACGAAAGAGGCATTCCAAAATCTAAGCAAAATATTGAGAAACAGAAAAAAAATTCGTTAGAAACAAAGAAAAGAATGCTGGGTTGCAATGTCGTATCCATCCTCTTATATGGCGGTGAATGTTGGACAATTTCCTTAAGGATGGGGAAGTTTGACTATCGCCCGGTTCACACTCTTCCCCGGGCTCTTGAACAGGAACAAAGATTCGCCCCTTGTTTCCTGGTTAGGATTAGGTTTCCGGTTCCTTCTAAAGTCTGCTTCATCTCTATATCCCTAACATTTCCGCCTGAACTTTGAAATTGGTTTCGTTAATTAAATCTTGGCCTCCTCAAGTCTGTCTAGAATTAACTATCTTTCCTGTTATCTAGCCATTTCTTACGTTTATACAACTCCACGCAGTAACCCTCTACCTTGAGTGGCTCTTAGGCCTTGTGCTGGGTGAATATTTGTTAAAAAATCCAGAAGCGGCAGAAATGTAGTTCTACAGAAGGATAATGAGAATTCCATGGACGGAGTGTGCAAGCAACAAGGCGGTCTTCAAGAAAATGGCAACAGAAAGAACATTTCTACTCAAAATCAGGAAAAGACAGCTGAAATTCCTTAGGCACATAACGAGGTAGGAAGATTTGGAAAACTTAATCCCTGCGGGGACATACTGAGAGAAAGAGAGGAAGGTAGCGAGCTTGTGTGAGCGGATGGCGGCACGGAGAAGCGAGGCCTTAGCAAAGGGAGATAAACTGTTAAGAGCCGCACAAGTTGTGGAGAGCCGTGATCGTCTATCTTCCGAAAGGAGACGACATATAGAAGAGGTAAAGAAACTGTAGAGATTAGCAGGAGTTGCCCGGGAGTTGATGTCGTACGAGTGAAACAGGAGCAACACGATCTTTTCAATGGGCTTGTCGTTTGGACTAGATATACGGAGACGTATCAAAAGTAGATAGTGACCCCAAAACACACATACACCAAAATTTGGGAAACGGGGATAATCAGCAACTAGATTTTGTCGCGGTGGCGGGGGAGGGGAATATTGTTTATTTAATTAATGCAACAATTAATACTTATCAGGGCTTCCTAAGCGTCCTTGAGCGCCTTTACGCTGACAGGCAGGGAAGCGATAAGCTTTGTAATCTTCGAATAAGGAATGTCCGCTCAAATTGGATGCAGAATTTAAAGCAATTCATCACGGGAAACAGGTTTTACTCGTTTCTTGCACAATGATCTGCCAAATGAGGCCCAGACATATCCAATGGGGTTCATGTCCGGGGGTTGACTTGACCATAGTAGAACTTGTGCCCCATTTTGCTTCAGCCAAGCAAGAATTAGTTTTGAAGCTTACCACAGGGTGCCATGGTGTTGTCGAGAATTTTTTTTAAGAAATAAGTATTAAAAATATGAGTACAAACCTCGACGTTTTAAACTATCTGCTGCAAACATTTTAAAACATTTGGGCAGTATTCATAATTAATTTTATTAAGTTTTGGTTTCAATTTTTTTAATATAGATAGCTTCGACAATGTTTATTATTTTCATGAAAAAGTATAGATGTATTTTCAGCAAGAATTTTTCTGAATTGTGAATGTGGACAAGTATGCTGTTGTAAATGTTTAGAAATGTTAGATACATTATTCAAATGAAAACTCAGACGCCGAGATAACATCAACGTAGTGTGGCTAACATAAATATTATTTTTTTCCGTTGGAGATACAATCACTCAGAAGACATTTAAATTTATATACAATGTTGGTTTTCTGCAATATATTAGTTGTTGGGGAAGAGTCATTACCACTGATTAAATCAGATATACTAGATTTAGCGTAGTATATAATTAATTTTATTTTTTTACTGGGGTTTGTGGTGGAAATGTTAGCATTTATTAATTTTTTCGAATATTTTCGTCTTGTTTATAATTAGAATGCATTTGGTTGCAATATAAAAGATTAATATATTTGAGGTTAGTTGAAGAAATCTTATATTTTACTTGCTTTGTATTAAAATTTCAGATAACGTAACTTATTTGTTCAACAATATAATTAAGGAAGTTATTATTAATAAGAGTTTGTTTTATTTTTTACTTTGCTGTAGAAAATCTGTTGAGGGTTTTATAATTGCTATTTTATAGTAATTTGGACATTCATTCTTATAGTTAAGAATGCACGAATTTATGCAGTTATGGTTTATACGTATGGAGATAGTGAATTTATTGTTATTAGTGTTTATCAATATATCTAGAAAAGGAATTTTATTGATATTACTAAGTTCGTATGTAAGGAAGGAATTATTTTGGAATTATCTATAGAGTGGCTGTATTTCTCTCCTCTTTCTCTATCTGTTTAACTCTGTTCATATCTATCTATCTATCTATCTATCTATCTATCTATCTATCTATCTATCTATCTATCTCAGTCTGTTCATATCTATCAATATCAGACTGTTCATATCTATCTATCTACCTCAGCCTGTTCATATCTATCTACCTACCTCAGCCTGTTCATATCTATCTATCTATCATCTATCTATCTATCTATCTCGGTCTGTTCATATCTATCTATCTATCTATCAATCTATCTATCTATCTATCTATCTATCTATCTATCTATCTCTCAGTCTGTTCATATCTATCAATATCAGACTGTTCATATCTATCTATCTACCTCAGCCTGTTCATATCTATCTACCTACCTCAGCCTGTTCATATCTATCTATCTATCTATCTATCTATCTATCTATCTATCTATCTATCTATCTCGGTCTGTTCATATCTATCTATCTACCTCAGCCTATTCATATCTATCTACCTACCTCAGCCTGTTCATATCTATCTATCTATCTATCTATCTATCTATCTCGGTCTGTTCATATCTATCAATATCAGACTGTTCATATCTATCTATCTACCTCAGCCTGTTCATATCTATCTACCTACCTCAGCCTGTTCATATCTATCTATCTATCTATCTATCTATCTATCTATCTATCTATCTATCTATCTATCTATCTATCTCGGTCTGTTCATATCTATCAATATCAGACTGTTCATATCTATCTATCTACCTCAGCCTGTTCATATCTATCTACCTACCTCAGCCTGTTCATATCTATCTATCTATCTATCTATCTATCTATCTATCTATCTATCTCAGGCTGTTCGTATCTTTCTATCTATCTCAGTCTGTTCGTATTCATCTATCTATCTATCTATCTATCTATCTATCTATCTATCTATCTATCTATCTAAATCTGTTCGTATCTATCTAAGTCTGTTCGTATCTATCTATCTATCTATCTATCTATCTATCTATCTCAGTCTGTTCATTATCTATCTATCTATCTATCTATCTATATATATATATATATATATATATATATATATATAAAACTTCCCGCTTGTTTTCCTCGGAAGGATATTTGAAGTGGGAAACAGAGGCGGTAATTTAGGAAATTCTTCCACGAGCCCAAACCAAGAAAATCAAACAGAGAGAGAGAGAGAGAGAGAGAGAGAGAGAGAGAGGGGGGATGGAGAAAGATAGTGAGAGTAGGAGGAAATGAAGGCGTCACAGAATTCGGGAGTGTGAGGGGAAAAAAGGGGTGGGGAACAAAGGAACGCGAATCGTTGCCTGTCCAGCGGCGTCTCAGAGGAAAAAGAAAGGAACATGGCGGAGAGCTAACGCGTCTATTTGACGCATGCGCCTGAATACACATTCCGGAGATTGGAGAAGCAAAAAGAAAGTGTCCAACCTCAATCACTTCATCAATTTGCAATCGATCAGGTAACGGACACCGTGTAGTCTTAATCAATTGTTTGTTATCAGCGTCAACCAAGATGACGCGCACAAATACACGCACACAAAACCAATATATATCGTTATCATATATATCGTTATCATATATATATATATATATATATATATATATATATATATATATATATATATATATATATATTGAACAATAAAAAAGTATTAAAAATTAAAATCTTCAGACACACTGGGTTGTAGATTAATATTCTTTTCGTTTTTTTATTATTATTATTTCATTTAGATTCCTCGACTAGTTTTCGGCCAAAATGGCCATCATCAGGAGAAGAAATGTATATATATATATATATATATATATATATATGATAACACCAAAGAAATACCTCTTTAGCCAACATATAGAGGAATTTTGTGTGAATTGATTGGACGGTTTTTGAAATATTAGAAAAATAGTTATCTCGATAATAATTTGGCACGCACTGTATATATATATATATATATATATATATATATATATATATATATACCATACCGTGTGTAACAGCCAAATTATCCAAATCGGCTAACAGCAATTGATAACTGTCCATCCCACAAAATGTTTAATATAAAAAAAAACATTAAACTATTTGAGTTTCTTTATTTCGGATTTTCAGCTATGATGCCATCTTGACGACATTTGTTGTATGCATCACTGAAAAACACTTTGAGTTATTCAGATAGAAATAGAACAGGTTAAAATTGTTTGTCAGAGCCATTGTCATCCCAGATAAGCAATGGTGAGAGGAAAAAGATCATTTAAGCGTTCGTTGTTACCAATATTCATACTCTATCTTCCATCTTCAAAGTCCGTTCAAGAACCATCAAGAGAACTATAAATAAATTTAAAAAAGAGGGAACAGTGAAGAGGAAATCTAAATCAGGCGATCACAACAGCAAGAGGGGTCATCATTTCAACTTAGAGCTAAATACATTATTATTGTTTAAAGTGGAGTCCAATAGTTTTATAAAAATCCCTGAGAATTCCAGTAAGATATCTTTAATCATTTCTAAGAGATAACGCTTCAGTGCATAATCTAACAATTGACAATTGTTGTTTTGTACAATTGTACAATTTTGCAGTTCCACCTGGTATATATATATATATATATATATATATATATATATATATATATATATATATATATATATATATATATATATATATGACAGAATTGAATACACACTAAGATAAATTTTATTTCTGATTTTTTTAATAACCAAGATAATTTAACTTAGATTATTTGATTAAAATTGCAGATAACAATACTGGAACATGCCACGAACCAAAGTAGCATCAGACCTATCCGAATTTCAGCGAGGACGTATCGTGGGCCAACATGAAGGTGGTCTTAGTCAAAGAAAAATATCTAAAAATCTTTCAATACCCTTTCTACTGTTAATAGAATGATCGTACAATTCATCAGAGAGGGCAAGAAGTGCACAAAACCTCATCCAGGCCGCCTGGGCGTCATATCGAAAGAAATGTTGAACAAGATCCACATTGCAATGCCTCTGACATAGCAACACAAGTTGATGTCAATCCCAGAACAGCTGTCTGGTATCTTCACAAGCTGGGCTACTATGGCAGAGCTGCGAGAAGGAAACCACTTCTCCGTCCAGCGAATATCAAACGCAGAAAGATTGGGCTCATGAGATGGTGGAGAGACCTGTGACCTTTTGGACCTCTGTCATTTTCTCTGATGAGTCAAGATTCGCATTATTTTCTGACAGTGGAAGAGTATGGGTATGGAGACTCTGTAGTTAAGAGTTTGATTTAAAAAGACTGCAGCCAACGGTGAAACATGGGGGCCTTTCAGTAATAGTATGGGGTGCAATTTGAAGTGATGGTCGCTCAGAGCTTGTGGAGTGTGAAGAAAACATTAATTCAACCAAATATGTTTCTATATTAAAGAAAGGGCTCCTTCCAATATTCTCAAGTAGTAGAATGAGCAAAGTTGACTCCCTATTTATGGAAGATGGAGCTCCATGTCACACTGCTCAAGCAACGCAAGATTGGTTGAGACAAAATGGGATCAATAAACTTCCATGGCCAAGTCAGTCCCCGGATATTAATCCTATTGAACACCTTTGGGGCATATTAGATCGAAAACTCCGCAAAAGAAAAGGAAGCCATCTTCTAAGCCGGAACTTTTAGGATTATTGCGTCAAACATGGCAAGAGATCCCTCAAGATGATATTCGTGAACTCATCGCTAGCATGCCTGGAAGGGTCCTTGCATTAAAAAAAGCAAAACGGATGTCAACTAAGTATTAGTTATTAAATTTATGACCATTTATAATTACTTCATTTGTATAAATTACTTGTTTAATAAAATAAACCGTTTCTGTGAGATATACTTCAATATATTCAATTCTGTCATGTCTGTATATATATATATATATATATATATTATTTTTTGATAATTACGAAGAATAATTATGCCTGGATAAATTTAAAATTCATCTAATTGTTTGATCTGAAGAGACAGGATCTGTTTGTTACATGTGAAATAAATTATTATTATAGATAAGTCCCCGCTTTCATCATTTTATATATATATATATATATATATACCGGGTATAGCAGCAAAATTATCTCAGCCACCTGCGCTAATGCAAAGCTCTTCACTAAAATGAAAGCCCTATGGCATTCGTAAAAGCAATATGCTAGAATTAGCTAGTCCATTCTGTCGAATGATTCAGTGGTAGAAACTCTGAGTGACATCATATCGGCTGGGTTTCAATCCTAGCTCGTAACATTGCTGTACCTAGTTGCACTATATATATATATTACGGGAGTTTGTGCGATAGTCTTAAAGTGGGATTTAAGACCCGCTAGTGATTTACAAAGGCGGCCACATATGGAGCAAGTGTGAGGATTGTGAAATGAGATCACTGTTAGATTGGCTGACATTTTAGATCCTACTCTCGCTTCTTGAAGATGATTCAGACAAACAGATTAAAAGTCAGTGAGATATATATATATATATATCGCTCCTCTATCCAAACATTACTAGCGATTAAAGATTTATTGTAATAAAAAAGAAACGTTCAATGGTAAGAACAATAGATTTAATTTATGCGTTATAGAAAAATTAAAACTTCTAACACTTAAATAATCCTAAATTATTAAACAAAGAAATGAATTGATTGCCTCATGTAGACCTAAAAACAAAATTCTGTTGAAATACGTTGATCCTGATTAGTTTTTACTGTAGCTTATGATCTTTCGCCTATTTATGTTATAATTTTTTTATGTTGTCTAAGTCCGTTTATTTTTTTTAAAAAAAAACCGAATGACCCCCACTTTATTTAAGTTTAATATAAAATAATAATCCCAACTTTACATTAAAATTAAATTAAATTAAAATTAAAATATTCATTTTTTTTCCATATCGTTTTAGGTCCGTCTATTTTAATATATTTCTTTTTTTAATAAATACCATCGATCTTCGTTTATTTTAAATATAAAATAATATACTCGTTTATTTTAAATGCAATATATATTTAAAAAAACGAAAACGTAATACCCTCATAATACAGTGATTTTCAAAGCGTAGCTTAAATGTGGCGCAAGGCTGAAAATAGGGAAACCCAGTGAGGATCGAATTCATTACTCAGTCGTAATTGTTCTAGCAAGACAAGCTTGTTAACCATTACACCACCTCGAGGTGCCCACATCCCCTTATAATGTATTAAACTATGTAACGGTCAGTCTAGACACATCGGAATGTTTTTTTCTTTTTAAATTTCAAGTTTTCAAATTTGTTTTTTTAAATTACAATCCATTTTTTTATCAAACGATTTAGTATTGACAAGCTCCATGGAATTTTCCAATGAGAGAAATCTCTCTTGGAGCGAAATGGCTATATAAATGGTTTACAATTGAGTTTCATTTTTATGTAATTCATATATATATATATATATATATATATATATATATATATATATATATATGATGTCATCGGACTGGAGAGGTCGATTCTAGTGTGCGGCACCTTTGGTAAGAGTCTGAAAACCATATTACGGAATCTCTATATTTCTGACATGAGGTGTTATGTATATTATTTACATTATTCAGACTATTGTCCTCATCTTTGTCGCCATATTTATCACAACGTTTCGGCCGGTGGTTGGAATTTCGACCCGAACCCTTTATTTTGCTCACTGGGGTAGACTGTTCTAGTTCCACGTGCCATGTTTTTGATGCATGTCAGTTATCAGTTATCCCCTGCTAATTTCCCTCTAAAAGTTCTCCACTGCCTTAACCGGGTATTGAACTCACATTCTTTGGGTCCTGTCACTGGATCTAACCAATGCCTTTATCCACTGTGCCATGTGTCCTTGAGGACCCAATGAGTGTGAGTCACAAGTCATCGTGGCCGAGGGCTTGAGGGTGCTAGCCTTGTTCAAATTGGGTAGACGGAACCATTAGGGTCCGTCGATAGCTGTCCGAGCAGGGATTTACAAGTCATCGTGAACGAGGCTTTGAATGTGTTGGTCATGTTCG